CATCCAGTTGCTACTGCAAAATTTTTTCATTTATTGATTACCAATATTTAAAATACTATGATTAGTGGTGGTGTTCTTGGACCAATAAAGGCTTATTTCGGTACTGTTGAAAGTCAAGGCCGAGGTTCACTTCATTTGCATCTCCTTATTTGGCTTGACCGTGATATGAAACCAGCCGACATGAAAGAAAAAATTCAAGATATCAATTTTCGTGATAAGTTAAAAGCATACTTAGAAGATATTATCAAAGAAGATTTAGATGATTTCAAAGAGAAACATGCCTTTGAATATTCAAACGGTATAAAATGTTTTTATTTTATTTGAATATCGATTTGTGCTTTTTTGTTATAGAACCAAGATCATTCAATACTCCTACAAGATTATCAGAAGATAATATATATGCCGCTTTACGTACTATTGTCTTGACAGGCCTAGGAGAAAATACACATGAATATGGTATCCAATCGACACCAATGAAGCAGCAATCTTCTCCATCAATTCCTTATACTTCTCCATCATGGAATAGATCGTTACAGACACCAACACGTGATCGATCAACATATGCCATATTATAGTAAATTATTAAAAAAATAAGCAAAAAGTATTGATTGGTGTTTTAGATACGAATACTCTACATAGTAAATCAAACTTAATTCCAGCTTGTTTACCTACCCCAAATCCATCGTCACCTAATTTTGCATCACGATTTCGTGCAGATGTAGTGCAACTGGTCGAAGCAAGTAATATTCACAAACATACCGACACCTGCTATAAGTATTGGAATGTGAATCGAGGTGACAAAAAAGTTTGTCGAATGCGGATGTCACGCAAGTTAGTACCTGTTTCAACGATTGATCCGGATACTGGTCATATTTCTATGCGACGATCAGATCCATGGATCAATAATTTTAATGAATATCTCATCGCTGTCTGTCGTTCCAACATGGACATTAAATTTATTTGGAGTAGCAACGATGCAAAGGCTCTCATTTTTTATATTACTGATTATGTGACAAAGATGAGTCTCTCTTTTCATGATACATTTGCTCTTGTACAAAA